GCCCGTGCTGCTGCTGCGTGTTCCTCTCTTCTTCTTTCCGTTTCTCTTCCTCTTTTCGCTGCTGCTGCTGCTGCTCCCCCTGCGCATCTCTCACCACCCCTTGCTGCTGCTGTTGCTGTTTCTCCTCACTTTGCTTCATTTTCAGCCCCTCCTGCTGCTGCTGCTGCTCCCCCTCCTCCGCTTCCGCCGCCCCCTGCAGCGCCTGCTTCTTCTTCTTCTCCAGAAAATACGATGTCCCTTGTTGCATGGCATACAAAAATCTTTTTTTCAGCCCTTTAAATCTTCTTCTTAGATCTCTCGCTTCTTCGTGTACGCCACGGAGAGTACTATACCGAAAAGGTTTTTCTTGCATTGCTACATAGAGAAGAGACTGTTTTTCGTCTTGTGGTTGAAGTTGTTTTATAAAGTTATATATGAGTGTGTCTGTCTCCAGCTTTTTCCTTTTATAATGACGAGCATGAGATACAATATGACTAAGATAAATTGATACTTCTTTCTGCATCTCAGGCGAAGGAGGAACATATCGCTGCATCCTCTGCAGCGCATCTATGCATTCTTCTACGCATACCTTTGCTATTTCTGCTTCTGCTATAACTCTATCCATATGTTCAGTGGTTTTTTCTGCTTTTGGTGTTTTTCTTATCAATTCAAGTAATTTTATTGTTTCTTCTATTCTACGATACGGTGATGTCAGGCTGCCGTGTGTTCTCATCTGCTCCTGCAGCCTCGGCTGCAGCATCTCGTCAAAGTGCTGCAGCAGCCAGTCGAGTGTTTCTTGTCTTTTCTCTTCAAGACTTTCATCTATATATACACCTAGAAAAACTAACTCCTGGACACAGAAAGAAACAACAAAAGAAAATATTGTTATTTGGTTTCCTGTCTCTATAAAAGGAATCGCTCTTTCTAGCTCACGCATCAGCTCCTTCAGATCTTCTAAATTTGATACTGCTGCGTCTGCTGCTGTTCCTTTTTTTCCTCTCGTGAAAACCCTCCCTGTTTTTCTTCTTGCACCTGATGCTGCTGCTGCTGCTCCTCCCCCTGCTGCTGCTGGTGCTGCTGCTGCTGTCACTTGTTCCTTTTTCTCTCCTTCTTTTCCTTCTCTTTCGTCTTTTTCTTCGTATTCTTCTTCTCCTTCGTCTGCTTCTCCTTCTGCGCATGTGCTGTCCTCTATACCAGCTAGCGAGCGAGAGGAAGAGGGAGACTGCTGCTGCAGCAGCAGACGATTATAACAGCGAAGAACAACAAATACAGCAGCAGCACAAGCCAAGGCAGCAACACCAACCCGAAACAATAACGCTTTCCGCTGCTGCCGCTGCTGCAACGTAGGGCGCTCTCCATGCTGCTGCTGCTCCTGCTGCAGCTGCAGCAACCCCCAGTCCTGCTGCTTCTGCTGCACGTTCAGATCAGCAGCAGAAGAACTGAGATTACTAACGGACAAATCAGAAGAAAGCGGAGATGAAGAAATAAAAGCAGATGGATGGATGGAGACGGTGCTTTGACCCCCAAATTCTGCTGCTGTTGACGCTGCTTCAGCTGTTGTTGCTGCTGCTGCTGCCGCTGCAGCAAACAGAAGAACCCCAAACCTGCAACATCTCCAACAGCCACCACCACCACCAGACGCAGCACGAGCAGAAGCAGTACCTGCTGCAGCAGCAGGAGAAGCAGTAGCAGCAGCCGGCATTGCTTTTACTTTGGCCTCAGTTGCATTTTGTCTGCGGAAGACAAAAAGAGAAGAAGATGGAGACACGAGGAGCATCGGCTGTATGAAATACAAAAACCAAAAAAGGAGAAAAAGAAACGAAAAAGAAGAAGATGATGATGATGATAAGAAGAGGCAGAGTATGAAGAATAGCAAAGATAAAAAGAAAAAGGAAAAGAGAGAAGTGAAGGGACAGTGCAGAGCGGGTTAAGCATGCAGCAACAGCAGCTAAATTCTTTGTTTGCTGCTGTTGCTGCTGCTCCTTTTTGTTTTCTTGTCTATAATTTCTATGAAGCAGCAGCTGCACCTGATCTTTGTTGCTGCTGGTGCTTCTGCTGCTGCGGCTGCTGCTGCTGCTGCAAGCAGGTCATTGAATAAGAAAAGCGAGAGCGGTCAGCAGCAGCAGCAGCAGGGGCAACAACAGGCGCAATATGATGATGTTTAAGCATTTGAATGGAATGTTGATCTAATATATGAAATGATAAGAAAAGGAAACAGTAGAAGAAAAGAAGAAATACAGTGCAAATTATATAGGAGAATGAGAGGAAAAAGAGCAAATAAATAAGCTAAAACAAAACAATAACAACGGAAGAAGCGTCTAGTGAAATAATATACTGATGTTTAATAATAAAGTGAAAAAGAAAGAGAATGAAAGATACGTATGAAGTAGAAGAATCGGTCTGATGCGGCTGCTGCGGCCGCTGCTGCTGTTCCGCTTTTATTCTTGTAGTTTTTTGCGGTTTTTGTCTGTATCAGATGACTTTAATAAAAATACAACAGAATATTTATTATACTTGTATAAGTACAGTTCCCATACATATGCACAAAATACAGGAAAACGAACAGGGGGGGACTGCAGCAGTCGAGTGCCGCTGCTGCTGCTGCTGTTGCTGCTTGTGCTGCGGTGGCGCTGATGAAGACAGCAGAGCATCGAACAGAATGAAATAAAATAAACATTCACATTACTATCAATATTATAATTATTAACACTATTAAGTACCTGTATACGGATTCATCCTTTACACAACAGGGGCAGCACCAGCAACAGCAGCAGTATACAAACGCCACTGTAGCAGCACGTGAATCGACGCTCTTGTGGCTGCCCGATCACTCTTCCTCCCTCTGTCCTTCTTTCTGTTTCTGTTTTCGCCTTTTAATTTGTTTTGTTTTATCTTTAACATATCTTTCTGCTAGCAGGTATTACTTATTCAGAACGTTTCGTTTAGCGGCTGCTGCTGCTGATGGTGCCGCACCGCAGTGTGGGGAGCTGCACTGCGCAGGCAATTCAATGAGACTCAAAGGAGACATCTACAGCTCTACTCTGTAGACACAATGTATATAACGTCCTATTACAAAAAAAATAAGCTAATTTATACAGGCAATATGGGCGCGGTGGGTGAGGGTGCTCGGCGGCCTCATTAAGCACGTGTTCAGCAGGGCAAGAAGAAACACTGAAATGTATGGAACCCATAGAAGCACCCTACACTTTTTTGTAAGAAATAATCCACCCATACTGTAGTGCGTGCACAGTGCAGTGTACCTCCTTTTTTAGCTCCGTTAGAAGAACGTGCATAATTACCGATTAGATAATTAAATATTGAATTTTGCATTATATTTTTGCCAGGAGACATCGCTCAACCTCAACAGCACTGACAAGGATACCTCTCAGGGGGATGCAGGCGTCGTACTGTCGCAGTGACGTGCGGGATCTGGAGACTACTTCCAGGGAGTCTCCGCAGGGAGGAAGTAGCAAGACAGTGAAAGGGTGCAGGCCTGGCCAGCGAGCGGTGCGAACACCGCCCTAGTGCTGGCCCGTCCAGCCCGGGCAGCGATCATAGCGGAAACCCTAAGGCATTCTCGAATATCTATTGTCCCGCCTCATTACCGGCAGAACCCCAACCCAAAACCAGCTAAGGATACGTGTCATTATCGTTGTGATTCCTTCGTATTCCATTGGACTTGTTTGTCTAGTTCTCCGCCCTAGGCTAGAATGCGCCGCCGGTGCACATTCATTCCATTCGCCTTGATTCTATAGCAGTACCGGCTCCTAGTCTTATCACGGAGCTAAATTCTTTTCGTTATATCAATACTATGATGCGCATCCCCTTTTCTGGGAAACTGCAGGGTTGCTGAACCTGCCGTGCTGAACCCCAGGGCATTAAATACCAAAACTAACAAAGCTTAAAGGAGTTTCCTTCTCTCTGTTTCTTCTCAAAGTTGCTCTGTTCTGGAACCCCACTAGAACCGGCGCTACGGCCCTTGGGGCTAGGAGAGGAGACGGCGCAGCATGTTGCAATCACATTTTGCATCAAGTCTCATGTCAGCCTCTCCTATAGTGATACCAATGCCTCTTCGTAAACGATATTTAATGCATTCATCAATGTTGTACTCAATGTACGTCGATAAGCACTAACAGAC